GACAGACACGAGAGCGGTTGCATAAGCCCGCTTTAATGCTTTTTTAAAAGCAGAAGGGCGGGCTAAAAACCGCAAAATAGAAAGGTAATTCTCCCCCCACCCCCAAAAAACGTTTTCTAAGCAGAAGGGTGGGTTGTAGTCGCGGTGCTTCACCGTTACATCTCTTTCTCGAGTCTTTGGGGCAAACCCAAAGCCAACGGGGCCTGAAGGCCCGCTTTATCATTCGACCATGTTCTTCAACAAATCGCGTGACAGAAATGGTCGGGCCGCAGGCCCGACCATCGCCGCCGGCAGGCCAAGCAGGCCCGGCCCCTGCCGAACGGAGTTGCCGGCGGAGCGAAGCGGAGCTGGCAACTTCGTTTGGCGGAAGGGCGGGCCTGCTTGTTATGATTCAAAACGACCCTGAAATTCCCAGATCGCTCTCTCAATTCATTCTCGAGTTATCGTGCGGACAGACAGACAGACAAACAGAATGAAACTTCTCCGGTCAGTGGAGTAATGGGCTTCGCTAATCGCTCAGCCATCAAATCTTTGTTAAAAATGTGTACACCGAATTACCAAATTGTAAAGACTACCAATCATTACCAAAGATTACCAAAGATTACCTTTGTTTACTAGGTATGATCCACCTGCATTCTAAATCGAAACGGCAATTTTTTGTTCCGAGAAAGATGTATTTGAGTGCAACTCTTTGGTAGTTTTTGATTCTTTACCATTCATGTTACAAATTTGAATTCTATGATTGGCCAAATTGTGATTTTGTTATGGGAGGGATGCAAAGATGCCATATTATACATGCGCGTTGGCATTTAGGCAAGATATGCACAAAAATTATGTCTAAATCAACAAAATTGTCCTTTTATAGGACCTTCACGAGTGTGAGGATTCCCCGGGATTACCAGTGATTACCAATGATTACCAAGTCTGTGTACACCTGATTACCACAGTTGGGCACCCCTCGAGTATAGGCTATTTCAGAGCCAGACGGGAAGAAGTAAAATGGAAGAACAAAAGCGCTCTGCGCATGCCCGGGTGGCGTTGTGGGGGGCGCCCGGGGCCGGTATGAAAAATTCACATGGCGGATTGAGTTTGGGGGCGTTTATCAACAAGAAATGAGGGAATACACGTAAAAGTTGCACAAGTGCGTGTTAAACAACAACCGAATGTCGTTTGCGTGATTTGATGGTCTTAGCTCGATTAAATATCAGCAAATTATTTGAAAATATCGTTTTAACCACCGAGGTTTGTGGGAAAAGGTGAGTACGGCCGCTTAGCTAGTGATATCTGAGTTAACCTGTTGAGGCGTCCCTCTTTTTAATTATTTGCTAAACGTTTTGAAATGACTGCACTGAATGACGCGTAGGCGGTGTTCGATTTTTTAATTCGCAACCCCACATTTTTCGATCTGAAAGGTTATTGCTGGGCTTGTCTCATCCTGAATTTTGTTTTCAGGCATTTGAAAAATAAGGAAAGCTGGCTTTATCAATGCAGGCCAGAGCTGTTATGTGGGTGCAGCTTTACAGGTAAATTAAATTGAAAAATTTCTCTCCTTTTGTCAAGTTTACTGGAAATCCTTGCGTCTCGTTCTCAGAGAGGGCTCTTTGCATGGTGCAACGCTTGTCTTTGTCACAGCCACGCAAAACATTTTTATCGTATCCTCTGCATATCTGTTCACTGTGCTTTGCTTTGATTTGCACGACCAATTAATCGCAGCTTGCGTGCGCAGATGCGTGCGTGCGCAGATCCGTGCGTGTCACATGCGTGTCGCGTGCGTGTCGCGTGCGTGTCGCGTGCGTGTCACGTGCGTGTCACGTGCATACGCAGATCGGTGCGAGTCGCGTGCGTGTCACGCGCGTGTCACGTGCGTGTCGCGTGCGTGTCACGTGCGTGCGCAGATCCGTGCGTATCGCGTGCGTGTCACGCGCGTGTTGCGTGGGTGTCGCGTGCGTGTCACGCGCGTGTTGCGTGCGTGTCGCGTGCGTGTCACTTGCGTGCACAGATGCGTGCGCGTTGCGTGCGTGCGTGTCACGCGCGTGCGCTAATCCGTGCGTGTCACGTGCGTGCACACATGCACGCACACGCACACAGATACTCGTGCGCGCACGCACAAACACAAAAGCACGTAGAAGCCCGGACGCAGAAGCACACACACACACGAATGCGACAGGTCCCAGTAGGCACAATCCCCGCGGGACCAATACGTTTTGTTCTTCCAATGACGTCACCAATAGAAAGGAACTATGTTTTACTCTTACGAACAAAAATGATCGATTCGAAACGCAGTTTTTCTCCTGCGAGTTTTTCTCAGTTTTGTTCGCTGAGGTGTTGTTCTTTGTTTAGTTTCGTTCCTTATCGTTTTGTTCCTTGGAATAGTTCCGATGGAACGGAACTATGCAGTGTCGCCCCTTTTCGATTAATTTAATTCCGATTTTCCAGCCCTGAAATCATCTTCCAATTAGTCTGCATGCTGTGCAATTTGTTTTTCTATGTTGTGTTGTTTTAAAATTTTTTGTAGGTAACAGAAGTGGTTGACATTGCAGACCAGCTGTTTGAGCAAAACAACTGTGTTTTGCTATTTGAGCTACTTGAAACAGTAGCAGTTTGTACACCATCAAGAAGTGGTGAAAAACTGTGGACTGCCAGTCCACTTAAAAGCAAGGACACTCCAAAGACAGTATTTAGGAAAACAGGTGCAAGGAGAAGGCTTGGTGATGTAAGTAAATATACAAGGTAGATGTACGCCAGACCACGTCTCGCGTAACAGACTTCGCGATATCTTACGAAACACTGTTACGCTGCGACGCGCCTGGCATACATCTACCTTGGCCTGCGGCGCTGACACCTGAGTCGGTTAGAGCAAAAATGTACTCAAAGATTTGGGCCTCCGGCCCGTCAACCCCGTCACTTAGACTAAGCATGCATGGTTGTACATTTTTAGCCCGCTCTTTTGCTTAAAAGCTATATAAGCGGGCTTATGCCATCGCCTCTGTGTCTGTCTGTCTGTCTGTCCGTTTCCCAAGAAGGACGTGAGCTAGAGGTTTGAAATTTTCAGGGTATTATTGTTGTCACTTCTGGTCAACGAAACGGTTGGTGCAAATCCTGGCAACCACCCCTGAGTGGGTCTGAGGGGGTAACAAAGAAATAGAGGTGGGTCCAAGAAGTGGAAAAAAAATATTTTTTTTATGGTCTCCTAAGGGGTAACTCGTCAAAGTAGAGCCCTTTGGGCGAAAATTTCGTCCGTTTGGCTCTATCTCTCACCGTTTAGGCGCTAAAACGAGTTTCTCTCACGAAAGTGGCCCAAAAATACATATATATATTTTAGAAAACATTTGATGGTCTCCTAAGGGGTAACTCGTGAAAGAAGAGCCCTTTGGGCGAAAATTTTGTCCGTTTGGCTCTATCTTTCACCGTTTACGAGCTAGAGGGAGTTTTACCCACGAAAGTGGCTTAAAAACAAATGTATTAATTTTAGAAAACATTTCATGGTCTCCTAAGGGGTAACTTGTGACAGTAGAGCCTCTTGCGCTAAAGTTTTCTCCTGTTTACTTACAAAAGGGAGTTTTTCTTACCAAACTGGCCAAAACAGAAATATTTTTACTTTTTCAGAAGTACACTTCTGTCTGAGAAGTATGCCGTCGGTTCAAAATTTTCTTCTAAGCAGAAGAGTGGGCTTATTTTATGGTGGGACATCATTAATAAAACGTGTACACTTCCATGCAAAAAAGCAAAAAAAAAAAACACACACAAAAAAAAATGTATTTGTTGTTTGAACACGTTCGGAGTCAGAGTATGCCTGGAAGTATATTTAACTTCTTCTAGGGCTAGTCTTATGTATCTTTTCATAGATGTGTTATTTGATTCATAAGCTAACATCAATAATAACTTAGAAGGGATTTGGCATAACTTGCATGTATTCTACAAACTGCGGCACACACAGCCAAAGATGTTCAGCGTATGAAAAGAATACTTCGTTTGTTGAGTTTTGATTACGAAGTACACAGAAAAGGTACCTGGCAAAAAGACGGTCTAAAGCGAGCCGTCACTCCAACGGGCCGAAGGCCCGTTTTCGGATAGAAGATGTATTACAACATGAAAATTCAGAAGGGACGGGCCGAAGGCCCGTCCCAAACGCCGCCGGCAGGCCAAGCTGGGCCCGCTCCCTGCCGAACCGAGTTGCCGGTGGAGCGAAGCGGAGCTGGCAACTTGGTTTGGCGGAAGAGCGGGCCCAGCTTGTTTCGCTTATTTTCGTTAAAATAGAGCAAAACGGACAAAATTTTCGTCCAAAGGCCTCTACTTTGATTGGTTACCCCCTAGAAAACAAGAAAAAAAATATTTTTAAACACAGTCATTTTTGGGACCTGTGGTTTTTGATTTTTTTTAAATCCAATTTTTGAGCTAGAATGCTCATCTTCGAACTCGATCTGTCTTTTTAAAAACGACCTGAAAATCCCAGGTCGCTCACTCAATTCGTTCTCGAGTTATCGTGCGGACAGACAGACAGACACACATACAGACAGACAGAAAAAGTTTTTTCCGACCAGACGGAGTAATAGGTTTCGCTAATCGCTCAGCCAATTACCCTTCAAGACAATAAAAAAACATTAAAAAAAATAGAGTGTACATCAAATTTCTAATAACTGAACATTAATTATATATAGGATGACACTGGTAAAGCTCTAAACAATGAGATGGCAGAAAGTAAGGTAATGAACGTTAAAATATGAAAAAAATGTGGTAATTTATTGAAATTTAACATACTTTCCATTGTACTATTTAGATGGTACTGACTGGACTAAAGCTCTCCATATCTCTGAGGATCAATGTGACAGATAGACAAACACCTTCAAATCACCACAGGTAACAACAATTAATAACTTGCAAAACTAATAAACATTATATTTTAGAAGGAAAGGCTCAAGTTTCCGAGGAGTACGCATTAGGAAATACTCAGATACCAAAAGGGAATTGTGAAGTGGAACTGGCTTTTGGGTTAGATTGACCCAGGTTTCCAAGTGAAACTTGATTGTTTCCTTGTGCATACCTTTTGGTGACCATAAAATAAAGTCACACTTCTCTAGTTGTAGAATTCCCAAAGACATTTGAACTTGTTACCAATAAACATGGTCTTTCTTCAATTTTAATTTTCCTTTGCTGGTTCTAGCAAGACAGAAGCTTTTCTGTTGCTTTTTAGTGAGGTGCTTCTCAAAATAATTTGGATGACCACTTTTAAGTAATGCAGGGCATTTAATCTCCAACAGCTTTGTAGGAGAGCCCTTTGAAATAACTAAGCCATCAGGGCTACAAGACAGCTCCATGCAAGTGGGATTCACCCACATTCCAGTTTGCTTCACCTTTACCAACGGATCAATCATCTTCATCTCTTCTTCATATTGTTTGCGTGCCTTTTCTTCACTTTGCTCTCCATACTTCGTTGCACTGTTCCCTTTAAATTTATCTATGCCCCACAATTTTTCACGTAAAAATCTTTTATATCCTGCTGGTGTCAAAAATAACAACCTCTTGGCCTGGGAAGCAGTGAAGTGCAGCGCTTTTTCTTACCATTGCAGGGCTATCAACACCATGGTGAGCTTCAGCTAGGGATGAGAAGAAACTGAAGCAGCCAGCATGGCTGACCACACTCAATCTTCCTGGACGGTGCCCGGTTGACTTTAATTTGAAGAGTTGACAATAACCTGTATTCTGGAGCTGTGGTCCTGCACATCAGATTAAAACAGGTATTTTAAAAAGCTGAAATTACTCAGAAAATAATTATTGAAGTGGATGTACTGACTTTGATGGTTCTCTTACCATTGCAGTATCATCAATGCCATTCAACTTGGGATGAGAAGAAACTGCAGCTGCCCTCGTGGTTCTCCATACTCAATCTGGATGGACTGGATTATCATTTCAAGATTCAATAGAATAGAATAGCTCTGAAACAAAGTGTATAAATATTATATGAAATAAATCAGATTTATATTGCATAGTTATAGTTACCAACTACAGTTACCTGATGAAACCTGCTGAGATAAAGTTGTTTTATTTTATAAAAGAACGGGTAGTAGCAGTCCTACCAGTTATCTTAAAGTCTCCATTAGACGCCATGCTTTTAATGCAAAATCACTTATTAATCTGTGTTGCAAAGTCAGACATGTGACTCATAGGTGTTTGCACCAATATGATGTAAGAATGATAGTTGTGAAACAAAGCCATTATCTCATGAAGGACTACACAAGTTTGGGATACTGTTGATTCCGAAACATTCTGATTTCGGTCATACCATGAGATAAGCAGAACGATTCAGTCTTGATGAAGCAAGTGAAGCTAGAACCACTCCGCCGTTTGATTTGGAAAATCTGATTGGCTGAAACCAGCCTGAAGCTTTGCAATAAAAAAGTTACAGGGTGGCTTCAGCCTCACTGGTTTCACCGAGACTAAATCGTTCATGACACATACTCAACCACCAAACGGAAAAAGGAAATGGTATTAAATGATTAAATGTAATAAGATGAAATAAAAGTGCTATTCCTGAGGTGTTGTTGCTTTCATGTGCTGCAAAAAAAGCTAAACAGGGCACCCTGTTAACATATACATTTAGCCATTACTGCCAAAACATACCAAGTTACAAGCAACATCGCATTCCTTCTAAAGGGAATTGTAAGATGTTTCTTTCCAGAATAGTTATGTTCCCTCTCCTGCCAGACATCCTGAAAGTAGAACAAGCTTGCAGGCTATATTAAGTTAGGAGAGCCAAGAGCTTAACGCGAGAGCCAAAAATGATCTAAATTCTCAATTAATGTTTATGTTCTCACTTTAGTTGAAAGTTTCCGAAGTATTGTAAGGTGCGTATACATGAAATCTAGAAGAAAAGATAGGCAGGCTTTGGAAACGAGAGCGCTGTTCAGTAACATTAAAACTGTTGCATTGGATTGGCCTAAGTGTTCAGTGGTTGGAAATAAACAAATAATGCTGAATTACCATTTCTTTATTTCATATCACATTACAAGTGGCTAATGACCTTAGAGAAAAACTTGAAATATTAAAACTTATGTGCACAGCTACAAGCCTTAAAATAAACTATAGTAAAAGTAAAGCATATTTAGACTTGGTCAAAGGATAAAATTCTAAACAAGCAGGCCCGCCTTTCCGCCAAACGAAGTTGCCAGCTTCGCTTCGCTGCGCCGGCAACTCCGTTCGGCAGGGGCCGGGCCTGCTTGGCCTGCCGGCGGCGATGGTCGGGCCTGCGGCCCGACCATTTCTGTCACGCGATTTGCTGTAGAACATAATCAAATGATGTA